CTGCTTCTGATTATGTTGAATGGTTTAGTCAGAGTAAAGTAATATGGAACAAATAACAAGTTGAGAAGATAATTATAAGGTTTAGTCTTATTTCTGTTAAAAGATGCTTGAGTTTGACAGACTTATGTTTAATCTTTGTTGAATTAGACTAAAGTTGTGTTAAACCCCTAAAATTTGGGAACAAAAGAAATGGATTCACAATCCCTCTTATTGCATGTTAATGACTTGGATTAATAGTTTGTAAAAACCATTACATCTTTCTTGGCCTCTAGGTAACAGGTTATATCTATATCTAGTCTCTATGAGGTGACTGAGGGTCTGGCTCAATGTCAGGAGTGCAATAACAGTGTTTATTCATTTAGCCCGGCTTTCAGAGAGTGGATTTGATATTAGTTTGTTAACAGTGAATGTGATTTTGGCTCATTTATGGCCAGGACAAGGGTGCTTGTACACTTCCTATCAATGATACAGAGGAATGTGTTGCATCACTACAATCACATCATTATTTGAATGAAAAGATATTTTAAGTGGACTTGACTGACATGGAGTTCAGCAAGGTGATGATTAAACATGGTAATAGTGCTGAATTGGACTATTGTGCTGTTGGCATGTTTAATGCGTGTTAATGTAAAAATGTTTCATTATTCTAATTTGAAGTTACAGAACATGCTGATGAATGTTTTAAAACTGGTAAAGATGAAAATGTTTTTGCAGGTCATGAATTTGAATCCTGTGTGGCTTAGGTCGAGTGGATGACCTTTTGTGTCTGATCAGAGGATCTCTGAGCACTAGAATTAGCTTGTATGTTTGGATTTAGAGTTGGAGCAAGTTGTAGATGCATCAGAGGAAGTATGGATGGAAATTATGAGTTGTTTACTTCTGGAGGACTTTTAGGGCTTGCGCATTTGTGTTCACATTCTGGACGTTGGTCTGCTGTTGTTTTTTGTATGTTTTCACTTCTGCTTGCAGGACCCTTAATCCCACCGATGATGAGAAGCGTGAACTCCTTTTGTGGGTGGAGAGTGGAAGAGCCCTTAGCTCGGGGACTGGAATTTTTAGGTTGCAGCTTGTCCAAGAAGGGGCGAAGAACTCTGTGACCTTATTAAGGGAGCATGAGCCATCACTTTCACTCTCCTTAGTGACCTCACTGGTTGACCGGAAGCGGAGTTTGGACTCCATTCTGGTCAAAAGGGGCGACTGAATGATTCTGATTTCTGCTTTCCAATTTGTCTCATCATGGACCACCGTTTATCCTTTTCATCATCCTGTTTCTCAGTATTTAACTGTGAATTGATTTTAATTAATGAATAACTTAACACATTGCTTAATATAAGAATGTTCAGTGCATTTGCCAGTCTCTTTATACCTATTTTCAGGAACCAGCAAACTAGGTCAGAGGTCACGGAGAGCTTGAGTAGAACTGAGGGCTGAGGACTGGAAACAACTGTTTCTATTGTTATTTCTACGAGTTAATATTGTCTAAAATGTCTAAAGTGATTTTTCTATTTTTACGGTGAATTCTTTTAAAGTTATTCTACTTTTTATTCAAGATAAACTTTGTGTAGTAAGGAATTATAACTGCCTGAATGTAGATTATACCGGTTTTAAACCAGTTTTGATAAAGAAGGCTGAGAGTACAGTCAGCCTTGGATAAGAAACAGATTATACTTTGTGTGTGTGTGTTCTATTTGATTGTTGATCCATTTCACAGGTCTGGAGTCAGCTCTAATCAGTCTAAAGGATGTCTGACATTTATGTTTAGATATTGTTCAGAATTGTACGCACGAACCCCACGTAGAAATGTTCCTAGTTTATCTGTGTTTTAACCAATCAGGTTAGAACACCAAATATGTATGACACAATTAATGACGTTATGTGAGAGTATAATTGTTATTGATTGGTGATTGTAAGCAGAGCGGCCTAGGAACTCATTGCGAGTGTTGAAGCTGGCTTCTGCAAATGAAACTGCAAACTATCTTCAGTAAACTTAATTTATTTATTCAAATCTCTGACTCCGGCTCTTCTTCATCTACCAGACTGGTCATTCTTTGGGTAAAACTGTAAACAATCCCTATAACATCGCTGATGTCATTTCTCGGATGATAAAAAACTCTGTTGAGTCGTTGCGTGAACCAACAAAGTCAAAGAGGACCTGAAAACCAAAAAACATTTATCTCAAACCATTCATAAAAAGTTAATTTCACAGGTATTATATGCAATAAAAGTAATTCTATATCAATAAACAGAAATTAAATGCTGCCTAACACCTTTTAGGCAAAAAATACTTTAGTTACTGGATTGATAAATAATATTTCTCTGTAAGTATGGAGTTACATTGCTATTTTTAAGAAACCAAAAACACAACTTTGTTATTAGACGCTAAACAGACACAGATACACATCTGTCATTATTCAAATAAATGCTATAATTAGTTTATTCAATACATGCAATGTAACACACTTTATCTGTGTCTAATTCAAAGCAGGCAAAATGCTAGACACATGTCCTGTAACTGATGAAAATAACCGTCAATTTTAGACGGTTTTAGATTTTAATAATTTCACTGACTTGTCTCAATTATAAAACTGAGACGATATTACCAATATTATTTATTACTGCTACTGACTGTAGTATTATTTTTATGATTAGTATTATTGTTGTTGCTGTTGGTTTTAAAAATTATTGATGTCTATTACTTATCTACATGTTTTCCAGAATACCAGGAAAAATAATATTAATGTGAATGTAATAATAATATTACTATTACAATTTATAGACCAATAGCTTTAATTGACCAATTATGAAAAACTATATCTATTGCTTTAACTCAAGTTTTATTTTTATGTTTGTTAGTCGATTTCAAATTAACACATTGCTTGTGTTTATGTGAACAATTACTCCATGCAAGTTAATCCAGTGGAAAACAAAATGTTTGTTTTAGTAATTTTTTTATCAAAATCTGAACATTTGCTTACGCTCCAAATATAGATTTGTACTGGTTTCTTGTTATGTATTCATTATGTGAAGTTGTTGCAGTTTATCAGTTTTGTAATAAAAAAAAAATTGTCTCACACTCAATTATTGCCCTGCTAACAATAACAACTTTAAAATTGTCAGCACTGCATGTAAAATGACCATAAGTACTGTGAAAATGTCCTTGGTCCATTACCTTAAATAAATATTTCACCCTCAACTGTAGTTCATGCTACAACGCAGTAAAATCTTCAGAGTAAAATTTACTCAGTTAAGAGAATATTTGGTCCCTCTCTAAATTGAGCAAAATTTACTCAGCAGCAGAGTTAAAGTTAATGAGACAATGATGGGGCTAATTAAGTGATGATTGAGCACCGATGATGAACACCTGCTGTTAATAAGCAGAAACAGAGAAGAGAAACACAAAACTACGGCTGTTTCTCAATTCCAAGAACGCAGAGAACAGACTTGTGAGTAAAAAATAAGAGACTTTAAAATTTTAGGTCAGCTATTCCTTTGGGCTATGTACTCTGAAGATATTTCTATTTTAAACAAAGTATATTCACTAACACTCATCTGGCAAATCAAAGGCAATCTTCAATCAGCAATGACCACAGATGGGTGGTGTCCACAGCGGTAACAGAAATAACTGTACATATACTGCCTGAGAGCACTGAAGTGGTAGAATGCTTTTCTCAGTGTTGTGTGGCACTGTAGTCCCAGAATGAGATTCTATAGTGTGCAGCATTCTACCAACAACAATGTGATTCTGCAAAAAAAAAATACAGAATGTACCTTTAAACATGTTGTTTATATGTTATGTTGCGAGTAGAAAACAAAGCGGGATGGAAAGAAAGACCCTGTTGTTATAATTGTGGAATCCAGAATTGTAGTCCTGAAAACGAACTACATTTCTGCAAACTGGGCATGCGTTGGCATAAACGGAAATACCTAAAAGAAAACGCATCAACACAAATTGGTTGGCATACAAAAAATACATAGAGATTATTTACAGTATATATAAGATATATATTTAATAACATACCTTACCTCTATTCTGCCAAAATATCTTATAAACAGTTGCTTGTGTTGTAACCACAAAAGCATTGCTAAGATGGGGAGGACATGACCCTGGGCAGTATGGAGAGGTTGTTTCTGATGGTATAAGGGTTTCTGGAATGGGTTTTTCTGTTTTGGTAATTTCAAGTGGAATGTCTTCCGGTAATCTTTTTCAATTCCACTAGTAATTGGTCATTGTGATCACACTACTCTGTGAAAAGGCCAAATGCTCATCCATACCGACATTCCCAATGATGCACACCTCAATATCTTCTATATCCTCTGGGGCTTCTGGTGCGTTTTTCAACAAATAAGGATGCTCCCAATAAATCCACCACATACACATGTATCTGTGGACACAACTGATACTGTCCTTTAAACCGATGCACTTGGAGTGCCATTTTCCCAATTGTTTGTCAAATGTGGAAACTGTCCTTCCAAACTTACACCAGGTGTCCTTTTCCCCAGAGTACACTAAGAAAAATAGATATCTCTCTGACAGATTGTGTTCCCCCAAGAAAATAGGAAACACACTGTCTACTTCGTGTGAGCAAGCATGTTGGTAAAGTTCCAAACATACCTCTTGCCTAGACTTAGAAAGGAGTCCCTTTTCAACCACCTCCTTTACGGTTTTCTCTTGTAGTGCTGGTGGTGGAATGTATGCACTGGTTTTCTTGGTCCACTCTAAGTGGTGGCATTCTTTCCCTGGGTTTCCACTTTGAGCAGCTATGGCCATATAGTCTCTGCATTCCTCCACTTCACAATCTTAGAGCTGTGATGTTAATGTCTTTCGGACATGTATTGGCAATCTGATACCATGGGATTGCTTTGTGGTCAAATAAATCCCATTTTTGGGTCAATGCAAAACATTTGTTCTTGCCCAGCATGTTGTTCCTTTTTATGCCGTAATAGGTTTGAGTTTGTGCTAAATGTGATACCACATATATGGCAAATTTTGTTTGCTTTTGGGATGTCTTTATCTTCAGGTTGTTTCTTTTCTAAGAATAATAATACATGTCATAGTGTGATTAACATAATTATAATGTGTTATTGTGTCATTACTTCAGTTGGGTTAGAAACATAAATGTACTCACCAGATGTTGTTGTTGGCACCATCAGACCTGTAGTTGCAGAGAAAGGGAGTTATACAGTTGAAAAATGCAATTTCACTCATTAAGCTTATAGAATTTAGAATATTTACAATAGCCTACCATGTTTACGCAAGTGTGTTTTAAAATCTACAGATCTGCTTATTATTTTGGCACATTTAGGACAATGCCAGTGACTCCTTGTGCCTAGTTTCCGATCTGGACAGTGGCATGGTATAGTAAATTTGTCTTTGAACACGGGATGCTTTAAATATCAAATTAGTCAAAAGACTTCACCTCAACACTTAAATTAAAACTTGGCAAAAGTCAAAAAATGACTTACCACTTAAAATGTCTTGATAAAACCCTGGTAACTTTTCCATCATTCAGTTTTTTTGTTTTTAACCAAAGAATATCTTCTCTTAAGTTAAAATTGCCAACTTTAAAAAAAAAAAATATTTTATGACCTTTTTCCATTCTGTTGAGTTCACTTGTAAAAGCTTTTTAACCATTTTGACTCTAAGACAATTCTTCCTTTGTTTAATATTAATCAATCCTATCCCTCCTTCTTCTGTTGCTCCTATTATTCTATTGTAAGCAATTCTTGGGGGTTTCCCCTCCCATAAAAAATCTTGAACACACTTTTTCAATCTCCCTTCTATCCAACATGGCATTTCTGTTATATATAATTTATACCATAGCTTTGATGTCATTAAAACATTTATTATTAAGGCTTTCCCCTTTAAGCAAAGTTCTCTCATCCTCCAAAAATGTAATCTTGATTCTATTCCTCTTATTAGATCATCCCACATCTTTTCTGTTGCTTTTCTTTCATTTTTACCAATTAAAATTCCTAAAATTTTCAGTTCTTCTACTTCTCTAAATTGGAAACAATCTGTTAAAATATCTGCTTTACCAAACCTCATATATTGTATTTTTTTTCATTTATTTTGCTTCCTGTTCCCTTACAAAACTCTTGTACTTTTTTCATGGCTTCTTTTACACTCTTTTTATCCTTTACTATTATTGTTGTATCATCAGCATACTGGTATATTTTTCCTTCATCCTCCTCTTCTTCTATTTTTATTCCTTTAATTTTAGTTTCTTGTTTTATTGCTAACCCTAAAGGTTCTGCGACTAGGGAATATAATAGTGCTGAAAGAGGACATCCTTGTCTAATTGATCTTGTAATTTTTAAACAATCTGTTAAAAAACCATTACATTTTACTTTTGTAAAAGCCCCTTTATATAAAATTTTAATCCAATTTATAAAATTCTCTCCAAATCCAAATGTTTTGAGTACATCAAATAAGTAAGTATGTTCTACTCTGTCAAAAGCCTTTTCAAAATCTACACTAATTAAAAAACCATTCATCTTCTTTTCTTGTAAATATTCTATTGTGCTTTTAATACTCATTGTTACATCTGCAATATCTCTCCCTTTTATTGCATATGCTTGATTTGATTTAATTAATTTAGGCATTACTTCCTTTAATCTATTCGCTAAAACTTTTGCTAAAATCTTTAAATCTGTATTCAACATTGTTATAGGTCTATAATTTTGTAATTCAGTTTTTGCTCCTTTTCTTTTATATATTAACTTCATTAATCCCATCCCCATTCTTTCATTCATCTCATTACATTTAAAAATTTCTTTAAAAACTTCTTTAAGTATTCCTTTTAAAATATCTTTAAAAACAATATAAAATTCATTTCCTATTCCATCTATACCTGGACTTTTCTTTTTATTTAGTTGATTTATTGCAATTTCAATCTCTTCTTCTTCTATTTCTCTGTCACATTCTTTGTTGTCATCTTTTTCTAATTTTACTTTTATATAATTTAGAATCTTCCTTTCTTTTTCTTCATCAATACCTTTTGCTTTAAATAGATCTTCATAAAAATGCTTGATTTCTTCTAGTATTTCTATGTTTCCTTTCGCAATTTTTCCATTTCTCCCTTTAATTTCCTTTAGTATTCCTGCTTTACCTCTTTGCTTCTCTAAATCAAAAAAGAATTTCGTGCATTTTTCCCCTTCTACTGTGTATTTAGATCTGCTCCTCAACATTGCCCCCTAATATTTGTCTTCTTCTAAATCTCGTAATTTTTGCTCTATTTCTTTGATTTTTTCAATATCTTTATTTTCTTTGTTTAATTCTTTTTCTAAGGATCTTTTAACTTCTTTTTCTGTATACTTTTTACATCTTTGTAGTACTGCGCAATATTTGATTGTGTATTTTCTTATTTGGTATTTTGTGTTTTCCCACCATATCCTTTTATCTTCATCATACATTCTATTTTCTTTTTCTTTCTCTATTATTTCTTTGACTTTTTGAACATAATCTTCATTTTTAAAAATGGTTGTGTTTAAAATCCAAGTTCCTGGTCCTTTTTGTATGTTTTCTACATTCACTTTAAAATGCAAGAGCTTATGATCACTAAAACTGTTCTCTTCATACTGTATGTTTTCTATAAAATTCTCAATATTCCTAGTACATAATATAAAATCTATTCTTGTTTGACATATAAAATCTCCAACTATTTGTCTCCTTGAAAACTCTCTTTTTTCTTTGTTATTTTCCCTCCATATGTCTATTAAATTATTTTCTTTTATTAGCTCCTTTAGTTCTTTCCTTGCTGTGTCAGATTTAAAAACCATTCCATCTGCCATGTCTTGTTTATTAAAAACTGTATTAAAATCTCCTACTATTATTATTTTTTTATATCTCTCAATTACCTTATTTAAAATCTTAAAAAACTCTTTTTTATCTTTCTCTTCCGTTGGTGCATGTATATTGGCTATAATCATTTCTTGTCCTTCATAGTTTACTTCTATCACTAAACACTTTCCATTGTTGTCTTTATACACGATTTTTTTAATATTAAAAACATCTTTTTTTATTAAAAATGCCACCCCTCTTCCAGATTTGCCATCACCATTGTTATATAAGATATCCCCCTCCCACTTCTTTTTTAAATCTTCCATTACATAATCTTTCCAGTTTGTTTCTTGTAATACTATCATGTATTTTTACATTTTTCTCTTATTTTCTCAAATTTCCCTTTTTCCATCATACCTCTTGCATTAAAAGATACACATTTTAAAACCATTAAAAGAAATAAAAATAAAATTAAAAACCTAAAAATCATTATTACTCATCATCTCCCTCCATTTCCTTTAACACTTCATATCTGTTGATGTTTTTCATTCTTGTAGTCAATTTTCTCTTTGTACTTTCTAGATTAGGTTTAATCTTTAATGTCCTTCTTCGAATTGTTCTTCTCTCCTCTCTGTCCATTTTAATTTCTTCTTCTCTTCCAATTTCATTACTTTTTTCTTCATTTCTTTGTCCAGTCTTCACCTCATTGTCTCCACACATCTGAGATTTGTCCATTGTTTCCATTTCTGTTTTCATTATCCTCTTCTCTTTTTTCCTTTTCTTTGAAAAGCGTTTGCCTCTCCCTTTCTTCCAATATCAGTCTTTCATTTGCTTCATTTTGCATTTTTCCTCTCTCTTCTTCATGTCTTTCTTCACAAAAAATGTCATCTTCATTATTCCTCTTGTAAGGTCCACCCAGTTGGCCCAATGCCGGTGTCCACTGGTGGATGAAGGTTCACTGCATGTTCGGTCTTTCCAGTGCACAATGTTGATTTATATTAAACTTAACTCATATCTGACTCCAATTTTAGTATGAGATGGTTTAGAATATTAATATATTTATCCTCGTTTTATCTGACTCCAATTATAAAACATTAAGAAGATTATATCAATATGTAATTTAGATAAATGTTTGAACCGTTTGTCTTCACTAGTAACTATTACATCCGTTCATTCGGGTGCTCATGTCGCTCAGAGAAATCGCCTCGGCCGAAGGCGTCCCTCACGGTCACACTCCGGTCAGTCTTGAATATTAAACAGAGGTAAATTGACTAATACTTTAGATGGCCGCTACCAGCGCGCTCGTTCTAAAATACTTTAGTTAGTCCCGCTTAGATGTACACCTTTGAGTTAAGACAATCATCATTTCTAATTAGAGGTTAGGGCATTAATATAAATGTACCCGACTACTGGACTCTATAGTAACTTTGGTTTTCACCAAGCCCATGGTTTCCCATATGAACTTAATTTAGAATAATATTACCTTCAAACAAAGGTCGGGTACCCAATCTAGGTTAGTCGTGCAACACCTTGTTGACCTAGACGGAAGTTATCGCCCTTTCCACCTAAGTACACATGAATCAATACCAAGAGTCTGCCGGATCCCTAAAACACAATTAGTGTGCCAATGCTCCATCTCAATTGGATTTTAGTCCGTCTACTGACCTGACGCAAGACGTGCGGAAACAAGGATACAGCGTAATCTACTTGAATTAATAATTACAGAGTGAGCAAAATATGGTCAAACATTACAATTTATTAGTCAGGTAAATGTATTATGCCAATTCAATCAGTCAATTCATAAATGATCAATACAAAACATCAAATTATCAAAGATAAATCCAAGATGAAAAAGATACATTCCTGACTTTGAAATATACATAACATGGGGCAGACCCCATGTTATGGGCTGATCTGGTTAGGCAGAATCGCCCTGAGTTTTTCTCAAACCTTGCCTTAAATAATCCAAGAATTCCCTCAAGGAAGGGGGTGTGAATAACAAAGAAGGCATTCACACTTAGTGTAAAAGTCACACCCCTCACAGTGGTTCAAAAGATGCCTGAAGTTATATATTTATTGTTCTGGTTATGTATATTTCTGAGAGAATGAGACCATTGTACCAATTGCACTGAGACATTTCAAATGATATCAAACATGATAATTAAAGTCAGTTTGGTTAATCTAAAACATTCAAACATTGAAATGACCATATGCGTGAGTTGGGGGAATGAAGCTGAGTCTCAGCATAGTCAGATGCAAATGCAGCAGGAACTGGTTTTTCCCGCATTCCTCCCTGGTGGGTTGTGAAGTCACCAGTCTCTGTTTTCAGCTCATGTTTTGAATTGTCAAAGATATCAGAATATTTGCAATATTTCAATTCTTACACTCTTATGCATTTTCTTATCCTCTTGAATTTCTTTTCCATTTTGTATCTCTTTCAGTAAGTCTTTTGGTTGTAAAACTCCTGCTTGTTCTTCTCCTTTATTTTGTTCTACATTGTTTACTTTATGCACTTGCCTGCTTATCTGGTTTCTCTCTTC